TGTAAAAGTTTTTCGATACTCAAGACTTTTAATATTTTTTTGAGTAATCAGATAAGGATTTACTTATTGTGATAAGGAAGCCTATCAAATCATTTTTTTATAGGGTTGCAAATTTTTATTCTTTTTTCTTTTTTTTTGACAATGTTAGGAATTTTTATTGATGGTAGGCTGAAATAGGAGAAGATTACAATGCAGAAATCAGAACATCAGAAATAGACAAGGTGTAAAGGAATTAAAATGTAAAACTAGGGCATAAAATGTTGTTTTGATGTTGGAAAATCCTCGTATTGATCCTCTGGACATCGAGATGTATAACTATGAAAAGAAAAAAAGATTTGAAGCCCTAAAAATAATGTATCTTGAACATATTATCTATAGACCATCCATTTAAAAAAAATTTCTAAGTGTTTATAGATTAATTTGATTTGAATTATTTTTGAAGTTTTAAGATTTTATAATTAAAGGTGAAAATAAATTCTCAAATCATCCTAATAATTTTTTACATCAAAATTGTATTTATAATACAATTTGGAGGTACTTTACTTGATTAAAGTAAAAACCTTATGCAAACCGCACCCAAAAAGTAAATGCTCTCTTCGTAGGCCATCCCTATCAAAAATTTGGAGTCCAAAGAATTTTCTTAGTGGGCAAGGCTTTACTGAAAGGAGCACAAACCCACAAAAGCAAGCAACCATGCAATCTTTTGGGTAAAAGAGCGAGTCACTTTCCTGTATCAGGACTGGCAATGAACCAGGTTCATGACCATAGGCCATCAAGATAAATAAACAAAACGAATTCACATGGAAAATGGGAAAAATGAGTAGACAGTCTTTGGTGAATGTAGAAGTTCACTTGGTGGAATGGAGGAGTGGCAACGGGTCGGGTCCGGCTGGACCCGGACCTGAAAATATATTGTGGGATGTAGATCCAGACCTGGATCCGATCGGACCGACCCAAAAATTAAAATATTTATGTAGTTAACTATATTTTATATGTTGAGACCTGAAAAATATTACCGGGACTTGGACCTGACCTGCATGGTCCAATCTTTGGACCCACACCAAGATCTAGATTGGGTCTACCCTCAGGTCCGGATCCATTGCCACCCATAAGGCCTTTAAGAAGCGTAGAAACCACCCCTCTATGTGTTTTTAGAGTTGAGCTTATTATGCAACTATAAACTCCCTTAACACAAAAGTTATTCCCGATTAACACTGATATATGCTCCTGCAACTATAAACTCCCTTAAGACAAAAGTTAATTCCCTATTAACACTGATATATGCTCCTACTATTTTTGTTTTTTGTTCTTCCATCACCATCATTATCGGATGGATGGAGAGATAGCGAGAGATTCGCTTTCTTTCCTTCCATCTTCCTTGTGAAAGATGCTATTCTTCCTAACCAACAAAAGCAGGAAAGAGAAGAAATATGGGACCACTTTTTTTTTTTTTGAAAGAGTTGAAAATCTTTTCATTGAGAGAAAATCAACGAAAGTACTGCACAAAAAAAGAAAAAGAAGGGAGAAAAAGAAAAAAAAAAATACAACAAAAACATAAAAGGATAAGAGAAGTGAGGGTGGAATGGCTTGCGAAATTTGCATTACGTCACTTGCATTTTCTGTTCTTCTTGGTAATGCTTCCATTAATTATACAAAATTTTGTGGGTTAATAGAAGGCATCCATGTAGCTATTCAAATGAAATGTTTCTCTCTATAAATTGAAAGTGACTTATCGTTATTTGTTCAGGTTATACAAGGCAAATATAAACCTCCATAGGCTCTCCATAACATAGGTGCTAATTGAGTTCTGGCTGGCTTAAGAATTTTTCATGGTCCATATGTTATGTCCGTGAGGCTAATATGGTGGTTGATGTTCTTCGGAAGAAGGCCACAATTTTCACGGAAGCCACCATTTGGCACTCCAAACCTCCATATTTCCTTCATCTTCCTTTATTTCATAATGTGGTGCAATTACCTACTGCAGAGTTGTAAAATAGTATCATATAATTTTTTCTATCTTGGATTATTGAAAACCGGGTAGGGGACCTTCTCCCCCACTGATTTACCAAAAAAAGAAAGAAAGAAAAGTCTGCTGCTCCATTTCTCTCACGATTGATATGGGTAAAAATGACCTCTCTAACCTGAAGATCTAAATGGAATCGATCCAAAATCTAAATCCATTGCCATGGTATTGATTCTAGGACCACTAGCTATCCCTCATTTTCTTTTTCTTCAATATTGTCGATACATTTTGTTTGTTTTATTATTCCTATATCTTTATAATAAGTTATCTATGAGAGATTAATAATTTAATATTTTACATATATTTTTATTTAATTTCAAAATACCCATAAAATATTTCATGGTCTTGAGTTGGAATAGTTTCATAAGAGTAAAATGTTAAATGGTTCATCTTTTATGTGCATTTTGATAAATTTCTCTTATTCATACCTATTTTTGGATACTTTTCGCTTTCTTAAAGTTCCTATTCCTTTTTTTTTTTATGTGCAAAAGATTATATGCTCTCTTGGAGAATCTCTAACATTCACTCCCCTTGAATAAAATCCTACTTAAGCTCCTTACCTAGCTATCACTTTTTATCGAAAAAAAATCTAATATTGAACAAAGATGGTCTTATTGGATGGTTAAACCTACGTATTTCAGGACTTAAAATCACTTGCTCTTTAAATACTCAATAATGATTTCAAATGGATCCAATATTTTTCCTTCTAAACAGGTCTTTCACCTCAAGGAGTAATCATATAGTATGCTCTAATGAAAGCATTGGAGCATACTATATTTATATGTATCACTCTCCAAGGAAGAGCCCAATAAGCCTTATTCCCTAAGCTCCAATTTGTTTTCTGTCATCCAAAGAGGAAAGGTGAAAGAAAAAGATTTGGAAGGTATCTTATTTGGTCAATGGAGGTCATTTATTATTGTTTTTTCTAGGCTCTACTTTTTTGGTACAGCATTTATTTCATTGCAAACTCTTGGAGGGAGACCATCTTATCTAATATTTTGTAATATTTTGGAGACAGATAATATTGCCATCCCTTTAGAGGGTAAAGCTTCCATTTTTTTTTTTTGGATAGGATGATACTTAGAATATATATACATGTATAGGGAGAATATGAGGTGTCAGCCCACTAGCTGATAACTACAGTAAACACTAAATGGTCCAGATTGAATGTCGGACGATCGTGATTGGATTTCTTATTGGAATTTAAATTTTAAATTTTTTTTTTTATAAATTTAAGTAATTTGAAATTTAGATAATTTGTTCTTAAAACATTGGCGAATCTTATCAAAATATCAAAAAATTAAATAAACAAAAATTAAATGGATCAAAATACCCCTGAAATTTTCAAGGTAGTTTGGTCTGTATTTTGTAAATTTTTCACTATTTTTATTAGGTGCACATTGATGAGCACAGTAAACACTCCAAATTTTATATGATTTATATTTTTATAAAAATATTAAAATTCAAATACAAAATGCAGTTGTGACCGACCGATCAGTCCAGATTCAATACAGGCCATTAAGCGTACACTACTCCATATATGCACATAAACAATGAGATTGAAAGATAAGATGTTATGCTGAGGCATCAACCCTCCTAACCACTAATGCCCCAACCCTGTTTTCAGTACTTGGAATAAAGTTACTTCATAAAAGATTCTATGAGTCGACTGGCCTATAGCACAACACAGTTTGAGTGGCTAAAATCAAAGGAAAAGAGACGATATGTATAGTTGAGAATAACAGATTTATTCTACATTCTTTTATTGTGAATTGACTTTCATTATCTTGAGCACTTAGATGAGACCTACATGTGCATAGAATTTTCTATCCATTGAACCTTTACTCTCTTCAAAATCGTAATGTTATTACAAGTAAATCTGAGCCGTTTGTATCTTGCCTCTTCAATCGTGGTCATCCTGCCTGTATGTGCTTTAAACCGGCTGGCTCATATAATCATTTTCCTTAAAAAGAATAAAGGAAATGAAGTTTCCCTTCCTTGATAATCCCTTGAGTGGATGCTTCCTTGATGGAAACCTGCACAATGAATTCATTCAAGAAAGAGAACTGTACAGTATGTTCTCTAGGTCTCAAGGAACTTTACTTTTACTTTTCCAAATGTCTATGTTGCCTTGGTCAAGGCACTTGACTTTTACTTCTCAAATATTTGTCACCTTGGTCACTTCTCCAAAGGCTCCTTCTCTTTCTCCACTTCTTTTACTTTTCTCTCTTTTTTTTTTTTTCTCTCCCCTTACTCCCCCCTGTACTTTTCTTTATTTGTAAATGGATTTCTATATATTTAAGAGAAATTATTACAATATTTATAAGAGATGAATTTTTTAACATTGTACGTATATTGTTTGATATAGTTTCAAAATACCCAGTTGGAATAGTGTCAAAAGATTAAAATGTTAAATAGCGAACCTCCATGGGTATTTTTGATAAAATTCCCTATTTTTTAATGCTACAGCTCGGGTAGAAGATTTATT